AAAGACAAAAATGCCATGGATGATTTGGTACTCGTAGTAGATGACAACGCTTCAAGAGGAAAATGGTCGTTGGGAAGGGTGGTAGAGGTCTTCGAAGGAAAAGATAAGAAAGTGAGACAAGCAGGTGTTAAGATTGGCTCGAAAGTGTTAAGGAGACCAATTGTGAAACTCTGTTTAGTGGAAGCTTCGACGGAGGTTGACCAAGTAGAAACATAATTTAGACATTATGTAGTGCTTGTATGAAGCAGAATTAATCGATGATTAGATATTTTATTGATAGAAACCGTAATCATTTAAAGTTACACCATTTGTTTTATGTTAGTTTTAACTTTATGTTTAAGTTTTTAGAGTAGAACAATAAAATAGAAGCTCATTGTATTGTGTTCCATCACCTATGATATGACATGCACTAGATGTTGTTATGCCCCTAAGTTATTTGTAGAATGACCACCCTGTAGTATGTTCATTGGGGCCGGTAATGTAGCGGCATAAGCATTAACGTTTTAGGCTAGTGCGCCCTCTATTTTTAAAGTAGTTATAATGACGTAATGATAATGTTTATAGAGAAGCTATTTATTTATTTATTTCGGTATAGAATATAAAAATACAAACTGGCAGCAAGAGCTGAAGTAGGTTGCATTACAGAAAAAATATATAATTACAAAATTACAATATAAGAATTTACAATATATAAAATTTACAGGATAAATTCAAAATGGAAATACAATAAAATTAATTAAATTAAAGTTCATTCATTAAGCTATAAGAAAAATAATTTATCCAACTATACAATTAACTAATTTTTCATTGTCATTGCCACTAATACTGTATTCATCATTTTAAATTTCTTTTAAGAATAAATAAGATTGCACAAGTTAGGAATAAAGTACAAAATTACAAAAACTAAGACAACAAATACGAAAAATTATTCGAAACAAAATTAATCAAAAGTAGAAACTAAAGGAACTTTTTGACTCGTAGACTAAAAAGGTCAGTAATAATAGTTTCATTGCAAAATTCATGCAAGGCGAAGCAAGCTAGCGTGTATTGTTAACCATCTATGCAGAACGAAACGGAATAAGGCTAGGGCTATGATTGGTAACAAGTTGTTCAGGAACAAGAAGATAAACAGTTGGTAAATACTCTTTGATTAATGAGTTAATTAATGTTACGTTAATTAGAGGATAAAAAGAATATTAGAGAGCTAATTATTTTCTGTTTATTTTTACGTGATTTTTACTGTCGGTTTTCAGTGAACCACACACACACACCCACACACGGATACACAGACTCACAGTGTACAGAGCCAAAATCATTTTATTGAGGAATAAACGTGCGTTCAAACAGTTAAATCTAGTAGAAGCATCTTTTTTGAGAATACACAGCTACATGTAATAGTAAAACAGCTCTTATGTGTGAATTTTGTAACAAATATTGCGCTTCAATCTTATATGTTAATTAACACAATTCAAATTCAAATTCAAATTCATTTTATTGCAACCTGACAAGATAAAATATCCTCATTAAATTGAAGTTTAACAATACTGTAGTAAAAATCTCCAAAAGACATAAAAAATAAAATTCATTAGACATATAAAATATAATTCATAAGACAAATACAATAAAATTCATTAAAAGTTGTCACTGAGCGGCGCACCCGAAATTACAAGTGATTGAAAATATCTCTCTGCCTTGACCTTTGGGAGTGAAAGCCGATTTGATTTCCTGAGATTATAATTGACAACACGTTCTGTTGGCAAAATGTGGTGTAGCCTGTGTGAGGGACATTTGATTTTTCCAAAATACTGTTGGCATAATTGGGTGCGGCGTTCAGCGAGAACAGGAAGACCAGAGACTACAAGGCCCCCGTTATAACTAACCCAGGGGGGACAAATACGAAGCGCTCTTCGTTGAATGTGTTGTAGGGCTTTGGACTGAGCACCAGATATACAAGTACCCCAAACCGGGACAGCATACTCCATGACAGGGAGAATAATACTAACGTAACATTGGGGAAGTTTTCTTACCCTCAGCCCTGCTCTACGTAGTTGTTTTAGAAAAAATAAACGGTTATTACATTTAGCCAGTAAGGCATCAATATGCAAAATGCTTTGTATGCGTCACACTGGATATTTGATTGCCGTTTATAACAATTGGGGCAAACTCTGACTTTCTAACTTTACAGCTAAATCTCATCTCAATGGTTTTTTGAGTTGATAACTGTATGGTTCAGAGTTGACCAGTGGGAAACGGTGTCGGCAATTGGCTGGAGCTCACTATTCCTATATCTGCCTATTCGCTCATATACCGTGGTGTCATCCATATATTTTACACACGACACCCCAGCACAGAGATCATTGGCAAAGACAGTGAACAGAATGGGCCCTAGCCAAGAGCCTTGCGGGACCCCTCCGTTTACAGTCACCCAATAGGACAGAGCATTACCAAGTTTGATACGTTGTTTCCTCTGCCACGGAAAACAAAAACAATGGACCCATCTGACAATATGGTCATCAACCTCAAGATCTTTCAACTTTTGCACTAAGATCCCGTGATCAATCAGGTCATAGGCCTTCCGGAAATCAATTAATAATGCTCGGATCTCTTCACCTTTATCGGCAGCAGCAAAACATTCATGTAAGAATTTAATCAATGCATCAGTATTGGAAACCCCTTTACTACACCCAAATTAATTTAGAAAAAAAATTACCTTTGATCTGTTTCCAGATAAGGTCACCGATGATACTCTCAAAAACCTTCATGGCGGGTGAAGTGAGGAAAATTGGCCTGAGGTCATCCTCAATCGATTTAGTCGGTGATACCTTTGGGATAGGGACTACGTCGGTGCTCTTCAAGATATCCGGGATATAACCTTAATCCCTTAAACTGCAATTTAGAATTGCACAAAGAGGCTTCGCGAGGGTGTTAAAATTGTCTTTGAGAATCCAGGGAAAGATCCCATCTGGGCCCGGGGCCTAAAAACCTTTAAAATTTCAAAGTCTGCTTTCAACCACTCAATCATGTACTTTCGTTTGCAGATTGTTGGTTGCACATGTATATAGTTAGTTTGTCAGTTTCACATATGTCCTGTGAAACTGATTTGGTAAGTACTGTATTTTCAAACACTTATGTGTCCGTATTGCCTAATTAATGCTAGAGTTTATGAGTATTTGAGGCTAGATATGGTTAGGCTTATAATTAATTAGGCTAGCGGTTGCTAGTCTCTTCTATTTGAGGCTAGGCCTAACGTAATATTTGGAGGTAGGTTTATATTTTTGATATCCAAATATCTTACTAATAAATCAACATCTAATAAAATATCTCATAAAATAATAGTAATCGATAATTATATTGAATATATATGTTAGTAAAACAGCTTGTATGTGAGGATTTGGTAACTTATATTGTGCTTCAATCTTATGTTAATTTACACATATACTTTTGTTTGCATGTTGTTGGTGGTTGCACGCAATCCAGGTCATTGTCAGTTTAGAGCTTGACGGTGTTGCATGTATTCGTTTAGAGTTACAATTGAATCGGTAAGTATTCTATTTTCAAACATTTATTATGTCAAGTCTCAATAATTGCTTAGAAGTGTTCATTAAGGTCACGATAATTTTAGTGATGTATAGATCAGTGTGATTGTGTCCTGTTTGTGAGATTTTTAGTGCAGCTATGGTTGTGCTTTTTTATAATTTAATTAGGCCTATGCCGAACATCATATTTGGAGGTAGGCCTAGGTGAATATTGATCTATATATATATATATATAGATCAATATTCACCTAGGCCTACCTCCAAATATGATGTTCGGCATAGGCCTAATTAAATTATAAAAAGTATGTGGAGGTCTTCCAGTTTCTCCTACATACTGTATACGGAATCACAAAGGAAAAGCAACAACATGAATGGAGATACGGCGCCTACAAGCTATCACATTATTTACGATCACCTTCTACACCAACCCAGGGAACAGAGGACCCAGCGGAAAAGACCTCGAATACCAACAGAGGGGTCATCGGATGACATCGGCCGCTGACGAAATGATCTGAGATTAGGTCATTTAACTGATGAAGATACTATTTCGAAAATGGTATAAATACTGTAGTATTTAAACAAATTTAAATATTAAAAAGCATATTGTTTTATTGTTGATAAAGCATTTATTTAAATACTGAAAAGCATATTGTGGAAAAGCATTTATTTAAAAAATGAAAAGCATATTGTTGTAGATAAAGCATTATTTTATTTAAAGATTTTAATACTGAGAAGCACGATATGCAAAACCACATTTTATTAAACAGATTTAATTTCTGTGAAGCATGTTCTTCATTTAGCCACTTTCTTAAACAGTTTTAAGTATTGAGAAAATATTTAAAGTTTTAAATATTTTTTTGTTAGAACAGATTTTAATACTGTGTTGTAAACAAAATTTTTGAAACCCATTCTTATAAGTCACCAAATAATACATTTCTACCAACCTTTAATACTGAAACTAAAAATCAGTACACCATTTTATGTACTGAAGTATCTATTAGTATTTACATGAATTGCATACTCGTAGCAGTTTACTTTCTATTAGAAACTGCTAGTGTTTATGTTATATTGGAATATTCTTAATTTACCTTCCTGACTAGCTAGGAATATATATCCCTCCATTCATTCTCCGTTATATCAAATTCCTCATTAAATTTCTTTTGCGACGTATGACTTTTGCCTATCAATTTTCACAACAATTTGGTAAATCATTTTTGCTTTAAGATTATTTAACAAGATCTCATCTTCATTACATGTTACAGTTATTCCAATAGGGTTCCCGACATTTCTGACAAAACCTGTTTTTTACCCTTGTTTCCATTTGAGTGGAATAGTTACTATAATGTTTCTCGAACGTAAACAATATTTTTTGGCACACCCTGGCGTAACCCAGCTAGTGAACAATATTATATTCCCATATTCTGCAGGAAGGAAGTATGGATTATGTGTCAAGAAGTACCTGCAAAAAGCAGCTAAGATAGACTAGTGAATTTTCCCAGTCTTACCAACTCAGCCCTCGTAAACACACTGAAGTTGCACAAGCCCAAGAGGTTTAAGCTGATGTTCTGTCATTAACACTGTGAGGATCAAAGGTAGGCATAGTTCTATTTGATTTTGTTTTATATTATTGAATATGCATCCATTAGTTTCATGGTTGTTTAGTAATGTATCGTTTATGAATTATCTTGGCTAGATTGTTTATGTTTAACAAACTGACCCACCTCCATAGTATCATCAAGGAGAAATAATTATATAGTTAGCTATCTGAGTGAGGTCCAGGGGACGGAGCCCACAAAAAGCTACAAATACTGGACGAATTATTTTGGTTAATTAATATTTGGTTTTTGATAGGCATCAAGCTAATAATAGTCGTAGGGGAAAATTTACCCACTAATGCTAGAGGTCGGGAGAACCTACCTGAATTCACATATTCTACAGGATTAGGTGACCGATTTTTTTGTTCTTTTTCGTAGGTATATCCCACCTTTATTTCAACAATCACAGAATAATTTTTATGCATGCTTTGTTGTCAAAGAATTATATCAATATCATTTTTTTTCTACCAGGAATATTAATCTTTTCACAATGTATTGCGAAATACGCAATGAATAATCATAAGTAATATAAGTGTTACTTAGGTATGAAGAAACAACTCCACTGGTGATAAATAAAGATAATAATTAATATTTGAGAAAAATATTATTCCCCATCGGGACCTGAACCCAAGACCTTCCGGTTACTGTTAGAATACGATACACATCCACATAATTATTATACATATATATCATACACATATCAAATGTATGTATGTAAAGAAGTATGGTAATCTCTGCGCATTTCAACTGTTAAATATATACATATAATTCAAATATATATTTTTAAAAAATATGATAACGTAAACAAATGAATCTGTGTTGGGTAGAGAGGCTATAAACCCAGAGGAGGCATAGGATCATCCCTTTTCACCAAGACATGTTATTTTGAAATGATAATTGTAGAATAATGAAACAGAGTTAGAACGATACACGTAGTGATAATAAAATGGAAAAGCATAAGATTGGCCGACTTAATAGATTTCTGAGAAGAAAATCTGACAAAAATAATGCTGTACAAATTTGAAGTAGTTACATTTACAATGGATTTACTGACTCAGAATAACTTAAATATAAAACATGGAAGAAAGGCCATCCAATTAGTATTGCAAATTAAAGCCTAAGTGTGGTCCTTTCAAATGGCCGGACACAGAAATTGAAAATAGAGGGGTCAGGGAGGGACTTTCATAGATACATGGTTTAGACAACCTCAACCTCACCATGGTTGTGGCTGAGGTAAGACAATTCATGATTATGTCACCATCAATAACTAGAGGCCGGAAATGACACTCTCAGATTTAAAATTTCTATAAAGTTTCTGCTTTTCTTAATTTTTAAAAATCTTAACGAATTCAGAGACTTATTTAGCTATCTTTTGAAACAAAAAAGAATTCAGACAGCAATGTTAAGGTTTATGGTTATGTTTCTGAGATCTGAGATCACGTGAAATCCCTAAATCATATTTAGGTAGGAGAAATTCTCCTTACTCTTATAAAATCTCCGACACTTAATGTAGTATGTAATTTTGTGATGTCCAAATAACTTACTAATGGTTTAGATTCTAAACTTGTCAAGAAAGATAGGACAACATTGCACGGAGCTTTGCGTTTAAATCCTACGTTGTTACAGTGCATAATTAACATGTTTTTGTAGATTATAGTAACACTAAACTCGTAAGTGCTCTTCAATCTATATCCAATTATAACGGAACAATGCGTTATTGTTGCTTGTTCGCTTTTAAAATACTCCCATTGTTTATAACAGGGTTAGTATGTACCCTTAAATTCCTTGAAAGTCCTGGAAAAACGAATGAGCATTTTCCAGTAGTGGAAAATCAAGGAAATTTATGATTGTCCTTGAATACTTCTTGAATATCCTGAAAATGTAATTATTTAACCATATCGTGTTTCGAACGCCAAAAGGACAAACCACAAGTGGCATAGTGCAAAACTAAAGTGGCACAGTGTAAAAGTCAAGTCGCACAGTGCAAAACTAAAGTGGAGCAGTTCAAACCCAAATGCGTGTGCCGCCACTTGAATTTTGCACTGCGCCACATAACTTTTGCACTGTGCCACTTGACGTTTGCACTGCACTTGACTTTTGCTTTGCGCCACTTGTGGTTGTTTTTTTGGCGATATCACGCCAAAAGGATAAACAATCTGCAAATCTAAAGTGGCGTCGTGCAAACTCAAATGCGTGCGACGCCACTTAACTTTTTCACTGTGCTACTTGAATTCTGCACTGCGCCACTTGACTTTTGCACTGCGCCACTTGACTTTTGACGATATTGTATGAAACGCCAATTTGGCATCAAAAGGAAAATAAACATTATTATTACTATATTATTTTTACTGTTATTATCATTATCATTACTGTTATTATTATTATTATTATTATTATTATTATTATTATTATTATTATTATTATTATTATAACTCGCAAAAAGACCGCCTTCGTCGGCCTTTGCGCAAGGCTGGGGCGGGACCAGATGTTTGCAGAAAAAAAACAAACTCCTGTATAAATGACATAAAATGAAATGACTTTGAGAACTGTCTTCTGTCCTATCACCCTCCCATCTTTTGAGATACTTAAAACCCAATAATAATAATATTAGCCTAAAATTCTCATATATGGCCCACACCCCAAAAGGCTGCTGACTCTATCTGGTAAACTTTGTTTGCTGGCTAAAAAGCACTCCAACATAAGTACGGTTTGGTGTGGGGGCTGGGGTCCGGACGTCGACGACCATCACTCCCTATGGATTTCACAGAATTATTATTTAAATACTCATGTGAAGCTCAGTCTAGGAAATACTGCAAGTATTGTCATATATATACATAACAGAATATTCTAAAGCATAATATTGAATACTGCCACATCTTTAACTATATAGTTTTAGAAAGACCTTTGCAAACGAAAGTCAGATTACCTTTTAAATAAGAAGAACATGAGCCAATAATAATAATAATAATAATTTTCTTTAAAAAGTTAAAGTGAAGCAAGTAAGATAGACCTAGGCCTACTGGTAAAGCATATGGTAGAAAATGGAATAAACAATACATGCTAAAATGTTGCGATGGATGGGACATTCCTAATTCGTTACGTATCGACTTATTTTAGTGATGGTCAATTTATAATAGATTTTTTCGATTATATTTAGTGCACATATACGAGCTTGTATCAGCCGCACTCACTCAAGTGATACGTGCCACTTACCTACTACATACTGACAGTGGAGTAGCAAAAGGGGTCTGGACAGGGCCCTTTGGGGCACAGACCCCGGGGCCGCAAAAGGTGGTGGGGCGGCGTTGTTAGCTTTCTATGACGCATTTTAACACATGAACATTTTAAGTTTATGTATCATGATTTGACCAATAAAAGTATACTTGATTTTAACTAAGATATCCAGTGGCGGATTCAAGCCCCCACCCCCCACCCCGACTTTACTAAAGTTTTCAAAATCATTAAAAAAAGGAATATTATATAAAAATTTTAAATCTGAAAGTGCCATTTCCGGCCACCTAGAGGTGCCATTTCGTAATTTTTCTTACCTCAGCCCCAACCAAAGGGCTGAGGTGTTATAGACCCTCCATCTGTCAAAGTCCCTCCCTGGGCCCCTCTATTTCAAAGTCCTTGATCCGCCACTGAATTACCACAAATAAACATAGGCATCTTACAATAAATACTAAACAAAACGAGCTAATCAAAATCAACAAATATTTATGGATATTCATTTTAATAAAACGCACACTGGCGATAGTCATGAAAATAAAAATGTCCCAATCACTCGGCAGAATTTGGCTTGGAAATGGTCCTTGGTTATTTGTTTTTAAAAAAATATTTGAATTTGCTGGGGTTTTCTTGAGTTTTCAGGGCCCCCGGCTTTAGTCAATTGGAGCACATAGTCGTTACGCCACTGCATACTAGATACTCTGCTGCCTACTTACGTAATTTGAATAATGAAATGTGTTGCTTTTGTAGCGCGCGTGACCTCGTCCATTATTTTGTAGATTCGTGTTATTGTAAAATTATTGTTTACTATATTTTAATGGACATAAATAGGAACTCAATATATGCTAATAATGGTAAGACATTTAAAAGAATGGTGCTACGATATGTTTCTTCCAGACGCGTCTGGACGGAAATCGGCACAAATAGTTTGTCCAAACTCAAATTGAACTCGCTAAAAAGCCGGGTGCGTACCTTTGGTCCGAAGGGTCTTTGGTCCAAATGTCCACTGGTCCGAAGGGCCTTTGGTCCGAAGAATTTAGGTCTGAGAGTGCCATTTTCGGAGCCGCCACTGATAATGATAAAAGTAAATCACCTTTATGTTTGTGAAATCAAAATGCTTGTTTTGTGTGCTCCCTATCTCGCTAGTCCTGTTTGATCGTAAATTAGACAGTATTATTTCCACTCACATTAGTGTAGTCGCAATATTAATATTAAGCAAAACTAAATTAATGACTGTTTTAAGTTTATCTAATTTGTTTTTCATGGTTCGAATTTTGAATACGTCACATGCTAATCATTAGATAATAAAACATTATTTTTATGAATGTTAGTTTACACGAAACATATAAGCGGGCATAATTATGATCGACTAAAAACATAATTTTAAATTTATTTATGATGAGCATTTAAGTGGCAGATTCAAGGAGCCCAGCCGGCCCACCATCCCTATTTTTTTTTATCGAAATGTAAAAGTGGAGAAAAATTAAAATTATATTCAAATTTAGTCTGAGAATGCCATTTCCTACCAACTACAGAGGTGCCATAATCAGAAGATTTCCTTACTTCAGCCCGAACTATGGTGGGGCTGAGGTGGTCACTCTCCATCTGTGGAAGTCTCTTTGGGCCCAGCTCTATTTCAAATTACTGGATCCGCCACTGGATATTTTGAAAATTTCGTATGGAAATAAATGTCAATTGCATTGCTTAAAATTTATTAAAAGGTCATAGGCGCCAGAGCTTCCGGGGGCTTCGCCCCCTGGTTCCCAACC